GGAGGCACAGTCTTACCATACTTTTCATTCTCTTGCCCACACACTGGCTGGAAGGGCAGATCCCCCTCTGGCCACTGGAAAGAAATCAGGCACAGAAGAGCTTTAGGAATGTCACAATTGCCAGTTGCTTTGGTGACCTCATGAGGCCTGTTTTGAGAGTTTATGAGGAGTGGGCAGAATTGCAACCATATAGTAACAGAAATTGATGAAGCTTTGCAGCCCCGTGTCCTTGAGAGAGTGAGGAGGGAGAAGGCGCTCACACAAATAGCTTCCTTTCCCAAGGAGTCAGGGGAGGGGAGGGGAGGCCCGTTAAGGGAGCAAAAGGCAAGTCATCAAATTCAGCCTTTGCCACATGAAATGTCCATTCATCCGCATTTCCTGCTGGGTGAGGGTCTTCCATGATGGTTAAAAGTAATGATTTTAAAGTTCACCTTCCTGAGTTTAAATCCCAGCCTTACCTCTTACTGTGTAACTTTGGGCGACTCACTTACCCTCCCTGAGCCTCAGTTTCCTATAAAGTTTACATCCGCCACCCAGAATTTTGGAGGGATGAAATGTAGAGTCATTTCAGTACCAAACATGCTTAATAGATATATTGTTGTTAAACTGTCATTCATTCAATAACACTTATTGCAGGAAATAACAATGATTAAGCACTTACAAGGTGTCAAGCACTTTATAATTATCCTTTCATTTAGTCCTCCCGGGGACCCAGTGAGGGTGTTATTATCTCAGTTGTGAGAATGACTAAGCCATGACTTAGATGGGCTATGACTGGCCCAGGGCCACACAGCTCTTTCATGAAAGCTCCTCTGCTAGGCTGATCATCTTCCGGAACTGAGACCAAGTATAATCTCTACAGACTTGTTTTTGAACATTCAATTTACACTGATACTCAAAAAAAAAAAAAACAGAAAGAAAGAAAGAAAAGGATAATCCCAAATGTTGGCAAAGGATAAAGACTGTTGTCAGTCTTAATGCTGCAACACTGCCCAACCTTGAGGGCAGTTTGTGGGGTGGGAAGTTTGCTTTGACACCGGAGACTCTGGAGACCTAGACTTGAATCTCAAATTCCTCAAATGCATGTCAGTCTTATGAATTGTGCAAAGCCATTTTCATCTCAGGGCCTCCGTTGCTTCATCTGCATTTTTGGGATAATGACATCTCTTCCTGGGCTTGTTCTGAGCAAGAGATCCCTCAGGTTAAGGGCCTAACACAGACCTTCCTACATGGCCTTGTTATTGGAACATCTCTACCCCTTGGTTCACAAGCTTCCCCAACTTGGCTGAGCTGTCTTGCTTGGAAACAAAAGTCTTTTTAGTTTAGAAGGGACCTAGAGATTACTTTATGAATTGTACAATTTTTTTTTTCCTGAGTGGTGAGAATGGAAGTGGACTGCCTGCTGTTTTAGTAATCAGGCCTAAATTGCCCTGTAAGTATTCCTGAAAAAGCTATTGGGATTTAAACTCCTTCTTTGTGGATTTAAGGATTTCGAAGCATGATGATTTTATTAGAACTCCTGCTAAATGTGGGGAACATGTATTTTCTAATCAGGAGAATATTAATCACTCGGAACTTTCACATTAGATGGCTAGGGGTGGACAAAAGGTAATCTGAGACTTCTGGAAAGGGCAGCCTTTGGGGACTCTCGTACACCGAGACGTCCAGGCCATCGCTCCAGTTCTGA